GGGAAAGAAAATCACTGCCCACCTTTATGCGTAACCTTGGAAAGTACCTGGCTGAGGTTCTGATAAATCTGTAGCTGTATAAATCATAACTTGTTTGCCTCTCCTGCCTGCCTCAAATACGGTAACTGGGAAATAATGGAACAAATGAAGCAACCTACCCTTTCAAAAGACTTTTTGTAATGTCACTGTGTTTCCCTGTTCACAGCCCACAGATGATGCTGATCACGTTTACAGGAAATGCCATGAGTAACTTGTAAAGTGAAAGCAACTTGCTCCTGGCTGGGCGTTTACTGGTCTGAGAAGCCCTGTGCTATCTGACTGGATTCCACCACTTTTCTTAGGACCATCCAGTGTGGCTGCTCCGGCTTAGAGATGCAAGGGGGTTAAGGATGTCAGGCAAATCTTGAGGAGTAAATTTATATATTTGCTGCTTTTCCAGAATTTTTTTTCAAAAATAAATGTTAAAGGAAGGAAACGTCATGGCTTCTGTACACAGGAACGCTGAGAGATGCAATTACAAATCCTGGCTCCACTGTGTTCATTTGCAAAACTCCTACTGATTTAAAATTTTCTTTTTTGTGGGGCCACAATTTCACCCCTGGTGATGTAGTTTTCTTCTTCTCTTCAATCTGTTTACCTCTCTTAGCAGCATTCTCTCCCAATGTCACTTTTCCTTCCATATAAAATATGTTCTCTTCCCACCAGTCCATTCCTAGCATCTGATGAAGTAGGTTGTTGCCTATGAAAGCTCAGGTCTCTCTGAAGTGTTGCCCTGCCCTGCCTTTTGCCTGACTTCAGGCTAACCACCTGTCATTTGACTGTGGGGCAGGGATGGAGGTGTTGAACACTGTCCTTTCTATTGGATGAGCTTATTGCACACACTAGGGGCTCTTTGCCCTATTCCTTCCCTGCCTGCCAAGCTCCCATCTCCTACTATTTGAGGAACTCCCTGCAGTTTCCCCAACCTCTCTCCCACTAAGTTAATCAGGTTCTATACAGAGAGACAAAACTAAGATTTGCCTTCAAGCTGAATGTAAGGCTTTTGCCAGATTGGTCAAGTAAGGTAAGTAATGTGCAGTTACCTTAAGAGAACTCATTAGAAAAAACTTAAAGCAAATACATGTAAGGGCTTCTTGATGCTATAAGAAAGTGTAGTTTGCTTTTTCTTGAACTCCCCTCTTGGAGTCTCATGGCTGAACAACAAATATATTTTCTATCCCGAAAATATATTGCATTTCAATGTTCTTTTTCCCTATTTGGCATCACAATAAAGTCAAAATGCTAAATTCTCACGAACCAATAATTAAATAAATGGGTCCAGCTAATTTAAATATTATTTTTGATCTTTTTGAAGTGTTTCATTTTGATGTTGACCTCTTAAATTTAAAGATAATTATTACAATTTTAAAATGAAAAATCATTTTGGGCCAAGTATTCTTGTTTTGAAAATGTTGGAAAGGGTGGTTTTTTTACCTGTTTAAAAAAGTTATTCAAAACAAACATTGTCACATCTGATCTTTTGCACATTGTGTCAATTTTCATTATTTTTTTCTCTCTTTCTCACCTCCCCCTTATGAGAAATTCCCAGCTAACACAATTCATGACAGAGCTACACTATTGAAAGAGAGAGCCCTGTAGCTTTATAGACTCATTGTCTTAACGTCTTTTCTGCATTCTGCTTAATGCTCTCTCTCCAATGGCCTAGTACTGCTTACAGGATGTCTGAAACTAATTGTATTGCCCTAAATAAGTCGGTCAACAACATCACCAAGTAAAGAAGCCAAATGACACCATCCCTGTGTCGGAGAGCACTACAGGCAAGGCTAAAATTTTTGGAGTATCTCAAATTAGCCCTCTAAATCCAGAGCCAAGAACTTCTCTAAGAGTGGCCTACTTTCCAGCAGGGCTGAGCTGCAGCCCACAAATCTCATTAAGTTGATGGGAGCTGGAGATACTCAACTTCACCTTTTGACAACCAAACATCATTGCTTTATATGCCTGAACACGGATTGTAGAGCTTTACTTTAGGTACCCGGTTTTGAAAACATTGTCCATAGTCTGTCTATTGAACTAGTTGGGCAAGCAGGTATGTCTTAAAATGTCTACGTCTTCCTCATACCCCATCCAATGCTAATACTCCTAAGTAACAGCTCCAGTTTTCCAACTGTGAGGATTTGTTTTCTAGAAGTGTGTGTTTAGCATCCTGTAGCTACACATCAAGAATACATGTCTTGGGTAGACTCCTCAGCCTAGTAAGGACTGGGGTATCCTAACATGCCTCTTAAGACTTATTAGGTGGCAGATATACTTCACCAGGAAGAATTCAACAGTGCATACTTCCTGAAGTCCACAGGAGACAGTCCCCCTTCCCTCTTCCATTTACCCCTTCCCTGCTGTAGCGTTCAGGAGATCAAAGGAATCATTAGAATGTTAAATTCCCAAAGAAAGCCATCTTATTTTTGACTGATCACCATTATTTTATTTACTAGAGGCAATAGCCTGCTGTCACTCAG